CACACACACGCACACACGCACACACACACACACACACACACACAAACACACACACACGCACACACACAGTCTGTCAGCTGAGATAAATGATCTGACATCAAACACCAAAACCTTCAAACTAGCTTCAAAAAAAGGTACAAAAAAAGTCCACGATTGCTTTAGCATTTGATATAAAAAACATTTATTCCTGACTGTCACCTGACTGAATAATTTACTCAGATGACTGACTACTCTTATTTTTATTTTATTTTTTATTTTTATTTTTTATTAATTGAAATAAAGTATATAAATGTTAGATTAAAAGAAATTAGAAACGTTGCCTTGGCAACTCAATAAGTATATGTTGAAGTACTAAAGTTGCTAAAACTAAAACTGAAATTTAAACAAATTAAAGCTGTTTAAAATAAATAAATTAAAGATATTAAAAAAAGCACATAACAATTACTAAAACTTAAATTGTAGTATGGTTATTATAGATTTTGTTAATATTTTGATTTTGGTTTTATGTTTTCACTTTAATTTTATATATGTAATTTTATATCAATATGGCTATATGTGAAGATGTGTGTGAATGTGAACTTAACTAAAATATTAAATAAAATCACATTTAAAACATTAACTATAATAGTATGTCATATGATACTAAAATAACATTGTTTAGCGATTTAAGTTTTAGTAATTTTAGTAATAATCCATGTGCTTTTGTCATTTTTATTATTTTATTTTATCTGACTATATGAACTATCAACTCACTTCTGTTTATTTGTATTTCTCCTGTAGAATTATAAAGAGAAATATCACTCGAACAATGAAAGATCAACCCTGTTTCTACTGGCCTGGCATCCATAAATGAACCGGTTAATTTTTACCAGGCGCATTTCACCGTTCAGAGCCGTTCATTTTGGTAACGAGACCCTTGAGGAAAATAAGGGTTAAGTGCTTTAATCTTAGTAACTCTCCAATTACTCCTCATTCAGACTGAAGCCGCAACCAGCCTATAAAAGAGCGTTTGCCAACCACAGCACTGAATCTCCGAACAAACCATGTACTTAAGAACCGGCGTGAAGCGCAATGTCCCTGGCATTGTGTGTGTGTGTGTGTGTGTGAGTGAGTGTACGTGTGTGTGTGCGTGTGTTTGTGCGTGTGTGTGAGTGTGAGTGCGTGTGAGTGAGTGTGTGTGTGTGAGTGTGTGTGAGTGTGAGTGCGTGTGAGTGAGTGTGTG